CAGCACATCATGCTCCCACAAGTGCTACCAGGAGTAAACCCCAAGAATAGAGCACTGAGTCCTTCCGGAACCACACTGGGAATAGCCCCCCAAAGAAACTTTTCCCACAGAAAAGAATATGACTTAACGGTTAAGAGAACAACAGATCAAGAAGCACTAATTCTAATACAACATTTATGCATCAAATAAGGGGTCATGAAGTTCATAAAACTTCTCAGGAACCTAGAGAAACGCACTGAGACACAGTAATAGTGGGAGACTTCAATATCCCACTTTTACCAGATAGATCAACCAGACTGAATACCAGTAACGAGATGAGCACTAAATGAGGAGCTGTAAGGACTAGATTATTAAATATAAATAGGAATCTCCACCTGCTAAAAGCAGAATACATATCCTTCTCCAGTGCACATGAAATGCTCTCCAGGACAGATCAAATACAAAGGCATAACTCAAACAACATAAATTTATATATACAGAAATCATACTATGTAACCTCACAATGCCATGAAAGAAATTAACCACAAAAAGAAGGGGAAATGTACTAATACGTGAAAGCTAAACAAATCACTGTTAAACAACTGTATTAAAGAAAAAAATCAAAGAAGAAATAAAAAGATTCCTTGAAATTAATGATAATGAAGATACAAACTATCAGAAACTATGGAACACAATAACAGCTATATTAAGGAGAATGCAAGTCAACATTAAGAAAGAAGAGAAAGCCCATAATCAACAACTGAAACAGCTCAAAAATCTGGAGAAGGAACAAATGAGCCCAAACAGTGGGATAAAGAAGGAAATGGTAAAAACTAGAGCAGAAATAGGTAACATCGAAACTAAGATAGCATTACAAGGAATCAATTAATCCAGGGACTGGTACTTCAGAAAAATAAATAAGACAAACTTTTAGCTAGACTCATGAGGTAAAAAGAGAAAATGTTCAAATAAATTGGATCAGAGACTAAAGGGGAGAAATTACAACAGATTCCTCAGAAATTCAAAGTATTACGAGAGGTCACTATGAACAACTTTATGCTTTTTTTACTTTTTTACTATGGGGGGGGGTTGGGGAATCATACTTGGCAATGCACAGGGGTTACTCCTGGCTCTTGCACTCAGGAATTACTCCTGGCAGTGCTTCGAGGACTATACAGGATGCTGAGAATCGAACCCGGGTCGTCCATGTACAAGGCAAATACCCCACTCGCTATACTATTGCTCCAGTCCCAACTTTACGCTTTTAAGTTGGAAAACCTATAAGAAATGGACAGATTCTTAGAATCCTATAATCTCCCAAATCTGAACAAGGAGAAAGCAGAAAATCTGAACAGGCCAATCACAAGCAAGGAAATCAAAACAATAATTAAGAATCTCCCCAACAACAAAAGACCCAGTCCTGATGGGTTCACTGATGAGTTCTATCAAACCTTCAAAGAAGATTTACCCTTTGCTCCTTAAGCTCTTCCAAAATATCAAAGACAAAGGAATCTTTCCTAGCACCTTCTAGAAAGCCAACATTACACTAATATTCACAGCTGACACACTTCTAGAAAAGAAAATTTCATATCAATCTTCCTGATGAACTCTGACACAAAAATCCTTAACAAAGTATTAACAAACCGAATCTAACAGTACATCCAAAACATCATGGACAATCAAGAGGAATTCAACCCAGGGATGCGAGGATGGTTCAACATACGCAAATCAATTAATGTAATACACCACATCAGTAAAATTAAATACAAGAATAATATGATCAGTAAAAGTAAAGAATCATATGATCATATAGTCGATGCAGAAAAAGCTTTCAAAAAGATTCATCATCCATTCATATAAAAACTCTCAATGAAACAGGGCGCAAGGAACCTTGCTCAAGATAGTTGTAGCCATCTAAACAAGCCCACAGTCAGTATCAATTTTAATAGTGAAAAACTGAAAGCAGTTCATCTGAGATTACTTATAAGGCAAGGATGTTCAATGTCTCCACTTTTATACAACATAATATTAGGAGACCTAGCTACAGCAACCAGGCAAGAAAAAGAAATCAAAGAGATCCAAATTGTTAAGGAAGAAATCAAATCATAACTACATGAAGATGATATAATACATATATAAAAGACTGTAGAGTCCACTCCAAAAAAAAAAATCTCCTAGAAACAATAAAGCAACAGGGTAAAGTGGCAAGCTACAAAGTCAATATGCAAAAATTGGCTACATTCTTAGATGCAAATAATGAATGCACAGAGAAAGTGATCAAACAGTCTATCCCATTCAAAATAATGTTGATAAGCATCAAGTATCTAGGAATCAACAAAAGAGGTGGGAAATCTGTACCAGGAAAACTTTAAATCACCTAAGAGAGAGAAGAACTTAGGAAAAAAAAATCTATTTCATGCTTACGGACTGGAAGAATCAATATTGTCAAATGACCTTGCTATCTAAACTAGTATATGAATTTAACACAATCCCCATCCAAATTCAGACAATATTCTTCAAGAACTTGTGGTCAATAATAAAGCTTATATCGAATCATAACAAACTTCGAATAGCCAAAAATAAGAAACTGGGAGGCATCGCATTACTTAACTTCAAAATATACTATAAAACTACAGTGATCCAAACCAGCATGGCATTGAAATAAGGATAGATTCTGACTCAGTTCTGAAAATTGAGTATCCAAGGCAAATCCCCATATTTATCAGCTAATTTTCAACCAAGAAGCTAAGAACATGAAATAAAAATAGCTTCTCTTCAACAAATGGTGCTGAAAAAACTGTATAAGCTTGTGTGAAATATTAAAGATGTATACTACATAAAAGTCAATTCAAAGTGGCTCAAATACCTTATTTTAGACCAAAAAACTATAAAGTACACTGAAGAAAATATGGGCAGAACTCTCCAATATGTGGGCCTCAAAGATGTCTGTATTGATACAATGGTCTGTCTGTCCTCCCGTTGTTCATCGATTTGCTTGAGCAGGCCCAGTAACATCTCCATTGTGAGACTTCTTGTTACTGTGTTTGGCATACTGAATACTCTCGGTAGCTTGCCAGGCTGTCCGAGAGGGGCGGAGGAATCGAACCTGGCTCAGCCAGGCTGGCTGCGCGCAAGGCAAACGCCCTACCGCTGTGCTATCTATCACTAACAATAGCAAACAACAAACAAACTGTCCTCCCATGGTTCATTGATTTTTGCTCGAGTGGGCCCAGTAACATCTCCATTTTGAGACTTCTTGTTACTGTGTTTGGCATATTGAATACGTCACGGGGAGCTTGCTAGGCTTTGCCGTGCAGGCAAGATACTCTTGGTAGCAACAGAATTAAAAAAAACCAAATAGGTCATCAAATTAAAGAGTTTCTGCATGACAAGAGAAAGCCAGGCTAAACTAAAAGACAACTAACTGAATGGGAGAAAATATTTGCACTCAGCAAATCAGGTTAAGGGTTGATATGTGAGGTACATAAAGTACTTGCAAAGATCAAGCAACAACAAAAAAATAAAAAAATATTAAAAAAATCAGGGAGAGGAAACAAACTGCCATTTTTCTGAAGAAGACAGACAGATAGCCAATAGGCACATGAAAAAGTGCTCCATCAGGATGACAATGAAATACCATCTCACACCAAAGAGAATAAACTATCAGAAATACTGTAGCAATCTGTGTTGAAGGGGATGTGGTGAAAAGGGAACTCTCATCCACTGCTGGTGAGACTGCTGCTTGACTCAACCCCTAAGGAAAATAGTTTGGAGAGTTCTTGGCAAACTAACACCTGAGCTGCCGTAATGACCCAGCAATTCCACTTCTGGGTATCTACTACCTCCAGAACTCAAAAACATTCATCAAAAGGACAAAGACATTATTATTTATTGCAGCACTCAGTACAATCGCTAAGATTTGGAATCAACCCAGGTATCCAGCAACAGATGAATGGATGAGAGGATGTGGTATAGATACATAACGGAATACTAAGCAGCTACAAGGAAAGACAGAATCATGCAACTTGCTGCAACTTGGCCGGACTGGAGGAGAACATGTTAAGTGAAGTAAGCCCAAAACAGAAGGACAAACACAGGATGATCTCACTTATCTGTGGTAGGTGGAATAGCTGGATAAGGTATGAAAGGAGGGATATAACTCCATCACCCCTAGCTCCCCAGAATGTAGACAGCAGAAGAATAGAGGTAAAGAAATGAAGGCATGGTGGAAAAGAAGCTAGGGACACTGGTGAAGGGAAGCTGACATAAAAATTCAAAAAAAAATGTTTTTTTAAATAACAACAACAAAACCCACCATAAACACATGTTCAGGTGAGGTTGATATAACAAAGTGATGGGCTGGATGGAGACATACCTACTGTCTGTGTCTGGCCCCTAACCATTAAGAAAAATTGTACAACATCTGGCCAGGGTTAATGGCCACAGAATACCATTTTTCTCTGAACAAGTATCCAAAATATCCAAATATCCAAAATAATTATTCAATAGTCTGTCATCAATTCCAGCTAGTCTTTAAGATTCACATACACTGGGTTGAAGAGACAGTACAGCAGTTGAGGTGCTTTCCTTACAGCTGACCCAAGTTCAATCCCCAGCACCCCTTATAGTCCCCTGCACCTACCAGGAGTGATCCCTGAGCACAGAGACAGGAGTAATCCCTAAGTAAAGCCGGGTATGGCCCAATCCCACCCCCAAAAATAAAATTCACACATACAAATCCATAATGCTCCTAATATAAGAAGAAACAAACGTATAGTTCTATTTCATTCTTGTTCAGAAAGAAAAAAAAAACTTTTATACATGTTCTGACTAAATTATGCCTTCTTAGTTACACAGAATCAGGGGCTATGTAGCTTCAGGCAAACTATATACAATCCAACATACAGACAGAAATGCATCTAAAAATATACGGAGAACATAAATTTGGACAAGAATGAATCCCAGAATGAAGAGGAATGACTAAGAAACACAGCTAATGAGAACTATTGTGTAAGAATTACCTCAGAAATGTTTTTGTCGGTTTCTTTCCTCTTTTCTTCCAGTTTCCTTTCAATACCCACAATTCCTACAGCCCTTATTCTTCCTGGCTGAAAGACAAAAGAAGAAAGTAAAACATACAAAAAATGAACAGCATAATCTTTTAAACTACCACATAATGTTCTCAGGGGTGGAAGAAACCCACAAACACCCATAGAAACATCACATACAATTAGATCTGGTTTCTTTTCAAAACATGTTTGCTTTGGGCCGTGACATATTCGATATGCCAAACACAGCAACAAGTCTCACAATGTTACTGGACCCGCTCAAGCAAATCGATGAACAATGGGAGGACAGTGACAGTGAGTCTGCTTTGGGCCAACATAATTATCTTCAAGTCCTCATATAGAAAAACTGAATATACAGTAATTGGCATTTTTTAAATATGAACTAAATTTTTCATTCACTTTTGTTCTTTGAGAGGCTATCCTGCATATGTGAGTTATTTAATAAGGTCTCAAATGTGCAAAATGTTGAGGCTAAAATTATGGTTCTTGACAATTGTTATACAAGCCATTTTTACACATCTGAGTTTCTGTCCATAGCACTGATTAATGCTGTCTGACCGAGAAACAGTACCCAGTGGTGTTTTCTGTTCTCTTAAATGCTACATTGACGAAGTGAATGAAAATGAACTTCTACTGACCCTGGAACTACTCTCGTTAGCAGTCATCTATTTTGTTATTCAAATAAATGTCATTTATTTTCGCTACCATCCGCAAAACACTAAATTGGGTTCCAGAAATTTTTTTATCCTAATATTATTTTGTTTTTTTTTAATAGTCCATAATTAAGTATTTTCTGTAATAAAGATTCAAGTACAGAGCTGAAAATACTGGACTAAGGGACAGTTTAAGGGGCTCAGGGATGGATCAGGAGCTAAAAGCACCTGAATTGCACAACTGAGGTGAAGTGTTAAAAGCTGAGTTCCCAGGGGCTTTGTTGAGGGACACCCCAGGGGCCCCAACAATGCATAATGGGTGCACAGACAAGAATGTCAAAGTCCCGAAACTAAAGTGCGTCACTGCAGTCACAGATCCCACAGGGCCCTGCAGCCAAGCAAGCGCGACCTGCTTAAATCATGGGCTGCAAGAACGGAGGGAAAAAGGGAGTGGGGGGAAAAAAAGAAGCAGTTTTTGAAATACCTGGGAGCCTCCTCTTGTTTGTAGTGACTGGGAAACCGGCATATTCTCCCACCTTCTCTGGGTCATCTCCTCTGATAAACGCCTGTAGAACTGTTAGGCACATATGTGAACTTTAAATGAATTGGTCAGGCTGCAGCATCCTCAGGCAAATCACTGTTTAGCTCTTTAGCAGAAAGATCTGTGTGGTTCATTACAACTGATGTCTAGGATCCAGAGACATCAAAGGAAACCGACGGAAGTTCTTTTCTTAGATCAACTTCAAGCACAAAAGAAGAATACAGAAGGAACTGACCTATGTTAAGTGAACTATTTTCAACAAAAGGTAAGTGACAATGACATAAATAGACTTACTTTAAACAATCCTGTGTGTGTGTGTGTGTGTGTGTGTGTGTGTGTGTGTATTTTGTTTTCAGTCTATGGGGAAATCGACACAGTGCCAAGAAAAATATACAGTTATTACCCATGAAGGAAGTACAGAAAAAACAGGTCTAGCTAAAATTTGAAGGCAGAAATCAAAGGACCAAAACATGGCTGTATTAAAAAAAAAATCAACTATATTTTCAAATTAAAGAGAATATAATTCAATTAGTCGTTTATAAATAGTCGTTTTAAGATCAACTGTGTGAGGAACACTTATGGTGATGTTAAAAAATAATTTATAATACGGATAAGGAGATAATTGCATACTTATTAATGTCTTAAAGAGAGACATACAGGGCTGGACAGACAGCTCAATAGGCTACATGCACGCAGGAGGCCTAAGCTTGGTCCTGGCACCACAAATGGCCTCCTGAGCACTGCCAGAAGTAACTCCAAAATATCACTGGGTGTGGCCCCAACCCTCCCCTTACCAATAATAATAATTTAAAAAAGCACAACAACTTAATTCAAGTGTATAACTATATGCTACTGACTACTGAAGTGATTAGGGTTCCAAGAAATGAATCAAGTTAGACAGATTGAAAGCTGGTGAGTTTTCAGATATGAAGTAGTTGGATAAATTACTGCACTAAGCTTTCTGTCCACTAGGCCGAACTATATATCACTGTCAACTTTACTAGTAGTCTGTTAATATTATTAGTAGGTTAAGTAGATTTCCGGCCTCTGTTCTTTCCTTATAACCACACCATTCTGCTTTCTGTTCTATGGAAATCTAAATTTCATATTCTCTATTAATCAGCCTTAAATTCCATAAAGTTTCGAATGCAAAAATAAGAGTAAAGAGCCAGAGCCATAGTAAAGTGGTAAGGGCGTTAGCCTTGCATGTGTCCTACTGGGGTTTGATCCCCAGCAGCCCATAAGTCCACCAAGCCCAGCAGGAGTAATTCCTGAGTGCGGAGACAGGACTAATCCCTGAGCACCATCAACTGTGGCCCAAAAACCAAAAGCGAAAACAAAATGAACCAAAAAGAGTGAAACCCAAAATGCTGTACAATACTGACTTTACTATATCTATCTATCTTTGTTTTTAGGCCACATCCAGCAGTGCTCAGGGCTTACTCCTGGCTCTGTGCTCAGAGATCACTCCTGGCAGGCTCAGGGGATCTATAGGATGCAAGGGATAGAACCCCGGTCTGCCCCATGCAAGGCAAAATACCTTACCCACTGTACTGTCTCTATGGCCCCAATTATACTAATAAATGGCAATAAACGTACACACATACACTTTTTTTTCCAGTTCAATTTGATTCATGTGGAAATTTACCTCAATCTGGCCATGTTCTTTGAAGGAGAGTTTGACATAGGAGTTCCTGCTACTCTGGAATGGACCAGGTTCTTTGCCAGGAGGAGCTGGATGAAGATGAACCACTATTTTGGCACTAAGGAAAGTGAAAAGGATATATTGAACTGCCTTTTAAAAATAATTAACTATTTGCACACCAGTGTATTTCAAATCACATTTTAAATTGATGTAGAAACAAATACCCCCAAAGGAGTCCTTTAAAGCTTGGCGTAATTCAGGCTTTTCTGGTTTTTTTTTTTTTTTTTTTTTCAGCCTCAACCAGTGGTGCTCAGGGGCCATTTCCACCTCAGTGCTTGGTGGTCACTCTGCAGTACTCCGGGTATCACACAGTGCTGGGGACTGAATCTGGCCTCCTGAATGTGAAGCCTGCTCTCCAGGCCCTTAAGCTATCTTCCTGCTCCTTAATTAGTGAACAGGTGGAAAATTAGACTGGTCCGTGATTTTAATTCATTATTCGGGGTTTCCATCTATAGAGTCAAGTCACAAATTTGCAGGGGGTCAATAACCTGCCAAAGCATACTTCCTTACCCATTTAAAAACAAACTGTGAAAGCTTATCAGTGTAAAACTGGCCAGCTGACATTTTATTAAATCTCCATCCAAAACTAATATCCTAGAGTGTCTTTTTGGAAAATGCCACTCAATCAACAGTATGATCTAGAAAGATAATAGCAAAAACAATTCTCAAAATGTCACTGCTCTGTGAACACAAATTACTGTAATGTTTATGTCTACTGCCCTGCACCATAAAAAAAATAGCACTGTATTTTTTCAGTTATGTTTTACCTCCAAACTGCCTAATAAACAATCTTCTGTAAAGACTGGCAAAACCAAACACTCATACTCTACCTTGTGTATAGCGTTTACATTATGAGCCAGTATAGATTCACCCACTATTCAATTTGACTTTGCTTAGACCTATACGCTGGCCTAATTATCACTGTCCAGCTGAAGCAGGCGTGGGGCCTCTCAGCGAAATGAATGCCCTGGGTTAGTGAATTAACCAGGTGTGTAAGGAGCCTTCCTCGATTCCACTGCTGTTTAACATTCTCCCGTAAGGTGAGCAAATAAACGTTGTACGCAGAATCTCAGTACAATATATGATGAACCATAAAATAAAGCAAGCAAAACAATGACAATATGGACAGGCTGAATGAACAAAAGGATTTACATAAAAGAAAAACACCCTGAGTCCTATTAACAATTCTGTCAAAGTAAACCTAACATGATTAAACAAAAAATAATGGTATGCAATGAAGTTTAAAAATCCTAAAGGAGGGGGCTGGAGCGATAGCACAGCGGGTAGGGCATTTGCCTTGCACATAGCCAACATGGTGGACCCGGGTTCGATTCCCAGCATCCCATATGGTCTCCCAAGCACCGCCAGGAGTAATTCCTGAGTGCATGAGCCAGGAGTAACCCCTGAGCACCGTCGGGTGTGACCCCCCCAAAAAAAATCCTAAAGGGGTCAGAGAGATAATACAGGGTAAGGCACTTGCTTTGCAGCAAACACCCTGGTTTGATCCTTGGCACCCGATACAATCTCCAACACCCTGCATAGGTAATCCCTGGGCAGAGAACCAGGTGCAGGCCCTGAGCTCAATCAAGTGTGGCCCAACCCTGCCCTCCCACCACCACCAAGAAATCTTAAAATATGCATAAAAATCCATGCCTGTTCATTCATGTGTTCACTTTTTTTGGGTTATTCAATTACCATATTTCATCAAGTTCAAAATCCATTCAATCAAAGAAGCATCTCAGTCTTGGAGATGTTCGAAAGTGAAGATGTTAAAAGAGCAAAGTCAGTTATTTCTCTGAGAAGAATCTGAGATTTCAAGTAAAGAGTGGTACAAGTAGACAGGCAAAAGTAAAAGTGCGGAAATACGCACAGGAAGGTGGCCCGCATTCATTTGTTATAATCCGGGGATGTTACCACACACCTAGTCGTGGATTCATGCTTCAAGGCAAGAAGATAACACCTGAAGGAAATCCCTGACAGTGACATTTACACAGTCCTAAGCAGTGATTTCCATGGATGCAATGACGGCACAGTAATTAATCAACTGAGTTATAGTAACCTGACAGAAAAGCTTTTGGTAACAAAAGCTGTTAACAGAGGCCTCACCTTTTCCCAATTCCGGCTGCCTGTTCCTCAATGAATACAATTTGGGAGAGAGGAATGGCCATACAGCACTCCTAGGAGAAAACGAATAGAAGATTCACGGAAAACGGACGAGGAGCCATCAGAAAGCCTTCCACAGCAGGCACTAAGAATGCCATATATCTTTAAGGTACTCAATCAAAGCTATCGTAGTGACTTCATACATCAGTAAGATAAACATCCATCCTACTGTAACCATGTAAACCTAAGCTATAGTTTCAGATTAATAATAATATTCAGAAGAAGAACAATAAAACTAGGAATGCTATTCTCTCATTAAACATAAGGAGAAAAATTGAATAAAAACAATACTGAAGTAGCATTTTGCTGTGTGGAAGATCAGCAGTTTAAAGCAGTTGTGACTATTTTTTGATAGTAACTACATCTAAAAAAAATGGTACTTCTATAAAACACATATGAAAATATAAAAGAGAGAAATAATAATTTTAGGAGCGATAGCACAGCGGGTAGGGTGTTTGTGATGCATTGTGGCCGACCCAGGTTCGATTCCTCTGTCCCTCTTGGATAGTCCCGGCAAGCTACCAAGAGTATCCCACCCACATGGCAGAGTCTGGCAAGCTCCCCGTGGCATATTCGATATGCCAAAAACAGTAACAACAAGTCTCACAATGTAGCTGTTACTGGTACCCTCGAGCAAATCGATGAACAAGAGGACTGGGTTACAGATTATATGGGTGGTTCCTCTCTATAATTTTTCCCCTCTTATCTGGTGATCTGAATTTTTTCGTTGTTTTGTTTTGTGGTCCAAACACCAAGGAAAAATGTTTGTTTGGTCACACCAGGCTGTGCTCAGGGATCGCTCCTGACGGTGTTCAGGGGAATGTGTGTTGCCAGGGATAGAACCTGGGTCAGCCATGGGACCTAAGTGATAGTACAGAGAACAGCACTTTTTTATCCAGCATTTGGCTGGCTCAAGGTTTGTACTGTGATTCTGGCCCCTCTTCTTTTTATTAGTATAATTAAAAAGAAAAAAAAATTAGGGGTCATACCGAGCAGTGCTAAGGAGCATTGTAGCATGAAAAATCAAGTCATGGGGGCTGGAAAGATAATACAGCAGATAAGGCACTGCCTTGCACACAGCCAACCTGGGTTTGATTCCCGGCACCACACAGGGTCCTCTGAGCTGTGCCAGGTGTGACCGCTAAGCACAGACTAAGAACAACTGGGGGTGACACAAAATCTCCCAAAATCTTTAAAATAATTTTTTACAAAAATAACTAGTGTGCAATCAATCTAAGATTTCCAAATTAGCCTCTTTGTATGATAAGCAAAAAGCATATAATAAAATTAATTTATCAACATCTGAAGTATGATTACCTACTTCAGGCCAGGTAGACGGCTCAAAAGGCTGGAGCGCTTACTTTGCATAAAAGAACCCCTGTTGTACCTTCAGTAGAGCCTGGTCACAGAGGCACTGCACAGCACGGATCAGTGGGACTAACTATGCATGCACACGCACGCGCGTGCGCACACACACACACACACATCTCTCAAAAAAAGATTTTTGTGTGTGTACAAACTGTTTTGTTCTTGGATCACAACCAGTGGTGCTCTGGGGTTACTCCTGCCTCAGGAATCACTCTAGGGCAAGGCTCTGGAGACCATATGAGACGCTGGGGATTGAACCTGGGCTGGTCACATGTGAGGCAAGCACCCTCCCCACTGGACTATCTCTTTCCTGACTCTGCACTCAGGAAACATTCCTGATTGTGCTCGGGTGACAACAGGGGGTTCTGGGGATAAAACTCAGGTCAAATGTGTGCAAAGCAAATGCCCTACCCACCGTACTATTGCTCCAGCCCAGGCATGCATTGTTAATATAGGCAATATTACCACAAAGGGCTGGAGCGATAGCACAGCGGGTAGGGCGTTCGCCTTACAAGCGGCCAACATGGCCGACCCGAGTTCGATTCCTCCGCCCCTCTCGGAGAGCCCGGCAAGCTACCGAGAGTATTCGATATGCCAGACACAGTAACAACAAAGTCTCCAATGGAGACGTTACTGGGCCCGCTCGAGCAAATCGACGATCAACGGGAGGGCCTTTACCTTATTACCACAAAATCAGCAAAACACAATTTTTTTTTTACATCTTTACATTTATTTTTACATGGTTAATGACCTTTCAAAGGACTGTAATATAGGGCCTGAGAAATAGTACAGGGTTTGTTGCCGATGTCTAGTACCACAAGATCTTCAAGTATCATGGGAAGGAACACCTAGGAACTGCCCAAGCGTGGCCTCTAAGTCCCCAAAACAACAAACCATCATGTAGGATGAAAATTTCATGGGTGTGGAGAAAAGCAACTAGGAAAATAATCGAGCGCTCATTTGACCCGTAACACCGAACTTCACACACACTCTCCAGTTAAGGCAGTTCGAAACCAAGACAGGAGCATTACACACATCACTTTCTCTCACTAACGCAGCGAGGGATTTCTCCTCCCGCTGTGGGACTGGGGCAGCTCTCAATATCGAGGCCAAAGCACCCACTCCACAGCAAAGCTGTACTCCCCATTCCCAGCCAGTAATCAGAGAGGACGGATTGTCTAGGGACACAGGAGGCTTTTGAAAGGAGTCCTGATGTGGAAGACTGAGTCTGTGGAACATTTAGATATGGGACCTGGATAAAAATGAGCAATGAGCATCACCACACTTCTCTATTTGATCATGACAAACACTGCTGGGTGTGAATGAGGGACAATCCTCTAACTCCTCTCTCTGCACTCTATTAAGAGATCACATGGGACACTCTATTGACTTTCTGTAAAGGAAAAGTTATTAGATCTATTAATAGTTTTGCAAGAAAGGAGGAATAAAGGAAAGTTTCGGTAGTTTAAAAATTAGAGCATCTTACATGATTTTTCTGATCTCTCCAAATTAGCCTGTGTGTACTAAGAAGAAGGGTTCCAGCATCAAATTTGATCTAGAAAGACAAGAACATCATAAATTATCAATCAACACACGACTCAGTATGGTCCACAAATTTTTCCCCTCATGAATTACACCACAGTAAATTAATGATACAAAACAATCATTTTACAATTAGGGTTATTACAAATCCAAGAGAAACAATGTTCCACTCTTCAGGGATTACTCCTGGCAGCGCTAAGGGTTTACACCCTGCTCTGTTCTCAGGAGTGATTCCTGGTGGTGCCCTGGGAATGCATGCAGTGCCAGGGACCGAACACGGGTGGGCCGTGTGCAAGGCAAGCCCCATACCTGCAGAGGGAGCATTCTGACTTGCAGGGTTAAACAGGAAAGGATGGAATACAGTGAGTGGATGCAATACAGTATATTCATCAAGCAGATTAAGTAAAAAAAAAAAAAAAGCAAGTTTCAGGTCTTTGTATGCACAGCATGTTACAATTTTATATTTTTTAAAAGGAAAACAACACAATACATCTGCACAATTCTCCAGAATGTGAGGTGTTTTTTTTTTTCTCACTTACTTAAAGACATGAGGGTCCTACTGAAATTTAAGCATAAGGATGTGAACTTAAACCTCAGCCAGAGCGTGTCCCATCGCTGTCAGTTAACAATGTGCAAATGTAAAATGCTGCTATATAGCTACTCTAAGAAACTGTGTAATGTTTCCCCCCAGGGATCCCACAGGATTATGAGTTAAACCTGACAGACAAGTTCAGGCTGGTATGCTTCACCACTCCATAGGAGAATTTTACTGCTTACAGTGGATTTAACTTAAGGCATTTGCTAAATATTAAACTCTTGCCCTATATTTTAGACGATATTTTGTTATAAAGGCAACATACTGTTGAAAATACACAAAATCTCTGAACACATTTTTTAAAGAAAAATCTTGCAATAAGTCACCCATAATTATGTTCATGCACTTGGACATATATAAACGCATATGCTTTATACGTATAAAAAATTTAGACAAAATGAAACCATGACATTTATAGCTATATAGCTTGCTTTTTCCCGTTGTTGACTATTAGCAATCCTTCAGCTGACTGGGACATGTTTTGATTTAATTAGCCAACTCCTATGGTGGACATTCACATTGATTCCAATTTTTCTTTCTACATTATGTGTGTGTATATATATTATATATATAAAGCTAAGATGAGTATTTTCATTTGTTCTATTTTTATGCAAGTCTTACTTCCCCAGGGCAAATTCCTAAAAGTGTAAGAGCCAGCTGAAAGAAAATAAACATTTTCTAAATGGCCTGGTATAGGCTGCCAACTAGCTACTCTGCACACTCCAAGCCTTCTTGCATGATTTTTTTTAATTAGCTGACTACAGAAGCTTCTGTGGATTGAAACAAATGACCTGTCTGTAGACTCTGCTTATGAAAAAAAAACACTATCTGGTCATAATGGGGCCATGAGAACCAAGTCTGCATAAACAAGCTAACTTTTATCCAGAGAAGATGCTGGCAGGTGGGAGAGAAAAGCCCACAGGTCTGCCAGGCACTGACTGTGACCCCGGTCAGGTAGCACTGCTTTCCCCCACCCATGGAGGGTGCTAGGGTCCCCATCTTTGGGGCGGGGGGTAGGACAGCTCTACCAAACACTGGCAATGTACTGAAGCACCATGAGCAGGCCAAAGTCTTGTTCTGATCCCTCCATAAGTTTAACCCGTGTCCCTCCTGATAGGCAGCATGGTGGCTCATAGCCAAGGTTAATCAGTGAAATACTCACCTCAGAGCAGGATGAAATGAGATTGTGCCCGAAGTTCCTGACACAGAGAAGGTACCAGGAACTACTACAGTTTTGCTTTGTTTTTGTATTTGATTTGGGGGCCACACCTGGCTATGCTCAGGGCTTATTTCTGGTTTTGGGATCCAGGATCACTCCTGCCACGGGGCAGGGTGTGAGGACTGAACAGTGGTCGGCACATGCAAGGCAAGCACCCTACCCACCGTTCTCTCTCTCTCCCCGTCAGGTCTTTGGCTCTTGTAAAAACACGACCTACATACTTACAAGGAGTCAGAAGATACAAACAAGCCTCCTTCTGAGGCCCGGCTGAGGAATGAATGGCCAATGAATGCCACATTCTGGGAATGCCCAAATAACGCTTTAACCAGCCCTGTGCCCACCTGCCTGGGGAATGTGTGTGGAAGCTAACCAGTCTGCCTGGCTTTAGGGCCCCAGAGCACGACTCTGATGGGCGCAGAGTTAGATCTACACCCTGCAGCTGAGGCCGCAGGAGGCCCTGTCATACCAGGGTGGGTGATGTGGTCCATCCAGTGGGGGGCCCAATGCAATGAGCTGACTTCTACTCCAGTTTCTAGAGTCTCTTCACCAGCTTTTAGGTAAAATTCTGGACCAGCACTGAAAGGGTCTCAAGCAAATTTTGCCTATGATCTATTTCTTAAGACTCTGACTTTTAAATTTTATTATTTGGGGGGAGGCCACACCCAGCAGTGCTCAGGGCTTACTCCTGGGAGGGGGTCACATTGGGGTGTCGGGGGTGGAACCCGGGTTGGCTGGCGAGCAGGCAAATGCCCTTTCAGCTGTACCATCGCTCTGGCCCCGCCTCTGACAATTTTGGGGGGATCTGTAAGCTAAAACAAAAAGAAGAAAAACGTTTAAAGGAAAAACTAGACAATGCTTAACCATGGTTTTACAGACATTGGCATGGATGGTTTTGGTACTTTGGCTGCTTCTGAATAGATCAGAGTCATATTCTGAGCCAGCTCCGGTGTTCCTGGTGTGCAGGCTGGAATTAAGCAGGGCCACCGTGCGAAGGTTTCCAGGAGGGAGTGGCTTTGGGGGCGTCTTTAGGACCGGATCTAGGCCTTGGTTCATCAAACCCTTTCAGAGTGGAGGCTGCGCGCTGGCTCTGCACCAACCAGGTGAGATCCCTGGCATTGCATACGGTTCCCTGAGCTCTGCCCGGAAGTGATCCTCAACCGCAGGGCCAAGGGTCAGCCTTGCAACTCCGCTGGGGAGGACACCCGGTGCATGCTCCCTCTCCATCCCAAAGGGAAGACCACGACTCAGCGTGGAGGCAACGGTGTACGCCTGGGGTGGGGGCGAGACTGGGGGTGCAGAGAGCTGGGTAACCCCCCCCCCTTGCCTCCAGTACCTTCGCGGGAGCCTCAGGTTGGCGAAAGTGCCAACCAGGAAATGCTACGAGGCTGGGAAGGGACATTAAAAAAAAGGGGGGGGTGGAGCAATAGCACAGGGGAAAGGGCGTTTGCCTTGCACGGGGCGACCCAGGTTTGATTCCCAGCATCCCATATGGTCCCCCGAGCACCGCCAGGAGTGATTCCTGAGTGCATGAACCAGGAGTCACTCCTGTGCATCGCCGGATGTGACCCCCCAAAAAAGAAAAAAAGTTTAAAAAAAAAAAAGAACACACAAGAAGTTCCGTGCACACACAAAAGAGCGAGGCCGTAGGCACAGAGGAGGAAGTGGGTGAAAAAAAGACGCAGGACTTGAATTCCAGCCCGCACCCTTCATCCAGAACCCGGCGGGCGTCGGTAGCTTCTGAAAGTTTGCAGCGAGCGTCCCCTTCGGAGTTGACACCCATCTCCTTCTGCAAAAGCATCCTCGGGCTCAGCTCCAAGCCGCCGGGCCGGGTCTCCCCGCGTCCCTCCGTCCGGCACACGGACGCCCCCACCCCGCCTCTCTCGGTCCAGAGCACAGACAAACCACAACAACAACAACAACAGCCGGCAGCCGCCGCGAAGACGTCCCCGTTCCAAGCCGACCCTCGCCGGTTCCGGCCCGGACACTCGCGGGTCCCTCGGGCTCCAGGGGTGCCGGCGGCGGAGGTGCCGGAGGTGGGGGGATCTCCGAGACCCCCCGCACCCCACCCGCCGCTCTGCACCGGGGCAGCGAGCCCCGGTGGTGGAGGTTGGGGGGCTCTGCGGGCGCCTCCGCGGGGTGGGTGGGCCCGGGCGGGCCGGGGCGGAACCGGGCGGCCCGGCGGCCGGCCCGGTCGAGCGAGGCTGCGGGGAACCGGGCCGCGCGCACCCGCCCCGGACCCGCGCACCGTCCCGCGAGCCGCCTCCCTACCTTCTCCTCGCCGTCGTAGATGCGCACCCCGCGCTGCTGGATCACCAAGGTCTCGTTGATCTCCAGGAGGCCGCTGGTCCACACGAACCGGTCCATGGCCGCCTCGGTCCGCCAGCGCCGGCGCTGCGACAGCGGAACCGGGCGAGCGCCGGCCTGCGGCGCCCCCTGGCGGCCGGCGGGACGGAGCGCGCTCGCGCCGGCACGACCCGCGCGGCCTCGGGAGCGCGCGCGCAGCCTCCCGAGGTCTCCCGGGGACGCGGAGACATGCTTGGAGCGTCCCCTGGTGGTCGGTCCTCCAATGACCACCCGCACCCCCCACCCCCACCCCCACCTGGTGGCTAGTCCTCCAGTGGCCAGAGTCAGGCCCTCGATTCCATCCTTTGACCTGTTAGAGCCAAATTCAGAGATTCCTGAGCATAGATCAGACCCTACTGTTGTGCTGTACTCTTGCGTTCCTGCGCCGTGTTCGTATCACTGCCCAGTGTATTGGCCTTGTCTATCAAAGGCTGTAAATTACAGCTTTTGTAACACTCCATCCCCCACCCCAATATCTCTGGCCAGAATTGTTTACATTCAGTTATCATCACTTAATCACTTAATCACTTAACTTCCCGCTAGTCGTCGTCGATTTGCTCGAGCGGGCGCCAGTAACGTCTCCATTTGTCCCTGTCGCGTGCTAGTGTAGCCCAATGGCATCTGTTCGCTCCGGGAACATGAAGGGCCTCAAACCGATCGTTCATGATCTTGAGGAAGAAGTCTGACCATCTGGTAGGTGGGCGGCCACGCGGTCTTTTGACATCCCGTGGAATCCAGTCGGTAACAGCTCTAGTCCAGCGGTCGTCTTTAAATCTCATTACGTGACCAGCCCATCTGATTTTGGACACCTCGGCAAATGAGACAGCGTCCCTGATCCTTGATCGTCGACGGATGGCAGAACTCCGGATTCTTTCTCTCACTTGAGTGAAACGTGATATTCCAAGCATAGCTCTTTCTATTCTTCCTTGGGAGACCTGAGTAGCGTTCTCATCTTGTTTGCCTAGGGCCCAGGTCTCTGAGGCATATGTTTATGCAGGAAGAACAGTGGAATCAAAGAGATGTGCCTGGAGCCGGAGGTTCTTCGTCCTCTTAGCTATTTCTTCGACGTTCTTGAAAGCGTTCCAAGCCGCTCTCTTCCTCCTGCGCAGCTCGGGTGCCAGGTCATTTGTCATGTTGACCTCTCGACCTAGGTACACATAGCTGTTGCATTCGGAGATGGTCGTTCCATTGAGAGCGAATGGGGCGTCAGGAACGAGGCTGTTTCTCATAAACATTATCTTCGTAAGATTCAGCTGTAGTCCTACCTTTCCACACTCACGGTCAAAGTGAGGATGTGACGGCGATCTGGCTGCGACATCTGTCACCCCATTGATCACCAGGGTTGATTCGGCTGATCTGGCTGGCTAGGCGGGTGTCCCCTTCCTCCCTCACCGCTCCATGTGCATCCCTCCCGAAGCTGCGCGCTCAGTCGAAGAGGACGGCCTTCCCCGATAGAGACGGACCGGTCTTCGGTCGAGGGTATACGAGTAGCTGCGCTCCCCTGCTAGAACCTCCAAACAAGCTCTCAGTTATCATCAATGCCTAAATATTATCTTGTGCCTCTCTTCTCCAACCCTCACCCCTTTAAGGTCATTTTTGTTTTTTTTTTTTTGCTTTTTGGGTCACACCCGGTGATGCACAGGGGTTACTTCTGACTCTGACTCAGGAGTTACTCCTGTCGGTGCTCAGGGGACCATATGGGATGCTGGAAATCGAACCAGGGTCGGCTTCGTGCAAGGCAAACGACCTACCCGCTGTGCTATCTCTCCAGTCCCTTTAAGGTCATTTTGGGATAGACGCAATTCAGGAAATAAGGCATTTGCTTTGCATGGGCTAATAAAGGGCCCCGACCTCCCGTCAGCTCGGATGCTTGAACACAGATCCAGGAGCAAACCCTGAGCATCGTCGTGTGTGTGTACAAAGAAGGTGCTTGTCCTTGCACGAGGCTTGACTCTGGTCCCGTCCCTGGCACCATATATATTGCCCTGAGCACTGTCATCTGAGCATCACTGGGGGTGGCCAAAATGAATGATCGAATGAATAAAGAAATCTTGAAATCAGCAATAAACTTTGTTCTTCTTGGTGTCTGTTTTGCCTCGCTACATCCTTTGCCTGCCATTTTAAAATCCAGTTATTAATTTCTATAGGGAAACCGTCTAGGATTTTGCCTGAGATGGTACTGAATAGGTCAGCTGGGAGAAAATAAACATCCTAACAAGGTGGGGATTTCCGATCCATGAGTATATATCTTCTTATCTTCTGTTAGGGGTTCTTTAATTTCACTTGGCAATAACCTGTATTTTCCTACAGTACCCTGCCTTTGCCAGAATCTCACAGATTCCTAACCCAGGAATTTCTTTCATTCCCACCCCTGCTAGACCTCTTTTGCAGCCAAACACCGTGGACCATTCCCTTTTCTTGAACTTCTCTCCTGCCTGGACCAAGTGTCCCAACTCTGCCCTAAGAGTTGGTCCACCCTTTCTTGCAGGTGCTTCCCAGTTCTGCATGACTCCAGGGGGGAACAACTGATGACTATCAGTACTCCAGGTGGCTGCAAGTATGTTTCCACGTTGGCTGCACTTAATGCTTTCACCTGTTCAGGAGAGAGGTCTTTTAGAAAAAAGTCTGCCTTCCTTCTGAAGTTTGAGAGTCGATATTTAAAAAAGAAAAAAAAAAGTCTCAAAAGAGAGGCCATTCTCAGCTCAGATAGAGAAGGAACCACCAAGTGAAGGGTGCTTGGAGGGCCTGCTTGGGATGGAAGATGTGTGCTGAAAGTAGACTACAGACCGAACATGATGGCCACTCAATACCTCTACTGCAAACCACAACACCCGAGAGAGAGAGAGAGAGAGAGAGAGAGAGAGAATGTCCTGCCACAGAGCCGGGGTGGGGTGGGGGTGGTGGGAGGGCTACCCTGATCATTGGTGGTGGATAATGGACACTGGTGGAGGCATAGGTACTCAATCATTGTATGACTGAAATGTAAGCACCAAAGTTCATAAATATCACACGGTGATTCATAAAAAAATCATTAAAAATAATAAGTATAAATAAAAATACACTTTAGCATCATATACACAGAGTATCAGATTAGATAGGGAAAATGTGCAAATCCCTCTAATGACAAATCATTTGTAACCTAGGATAAGAGTAATACAAAATTTCAGATAAGGAATATATACTTAGAAATTAACCAAGAGTGTTCTCATATATATATATACACATATATATATATATATATATGAAGTCCACTTAGATGAAGTGATTTATGTGGTAGCTTGTAGTCAAACTCATCACTTTTGGGGGGGGGTCACACCTGGCGATGCACAGGGGTTACTCCTAGCTCTGCACTCAGGAATTACGCCTGGTGGTGTTCAGGGGACCATATGGGACGCTGGGAATGGAATCAGAGTCAGTCCGTGTGAGGCAAACGCCCTACCCGCTGTGCTATCATTCCAGCCCCAAACTCATCACTATTTGTCTCCCTTTCTCTCACTGCTTTGTCTTTGGAAATGAGGAAATAAACCTTTCCTTTGGTTTTCCAGGAAAAAGAGAGAGAGAGAGAGAGAGAGAGAGAGAGAGAGAGAGAGAGAGAGAGAGAGAGAGAGAGAGAGAGAGAGAGACGTCATTCTTTGAATGGGTACGTCTGGCCACGAATGAGAAAATCATTCGTGCAAACCACGCGGGAAATTCCTCCCGCGTTGCAAGTCCTGGACCAGACGGACGTTTAGATTTGAAAACTGAAAAAAAAAATTAATAAATAAAACAAAACAAAACAAAAAAAACCAACAGGGCTTAGAGCCGCTCCAAACAGATCCAGGCAGATCCAGCCCCGCCCCCGGCAACTGCGCGCGGGCCCCGCCCCTCCGCGCCCATTGGCCCATTCAATTCACGCGTGCACCAATGGGCGGCGGCGGCGGCGGCGGCGGCGGCGGCCGCGCCGTTTAAGGCCGAGCCCGGGTGGCGCGTGCAGAGCGCAGCGGAGCCCAGGGGAGACCCGGCGTCGCCTTCGCGCCCCCGGGATGAGCACCCGCGCCGTGCCTCGGGACCTGCAGCTGCCACCCAGCCAGAGGACACAGTCCGCCTTCCGAGGTGAGGCTACGGGCGGGCGGCTCGGGTTCTGCGGCGGACCAGCTTGGGCCCGAGCTGCCCGCCTGGCCCCTCGCGCTCCGGCCTCCTCCCCCGCCCCCCACCCCGCGCCCGGTGCCTGCTCCGGGGCGTTCGTGTGTGCGGGGGGCGCGCGTCCGTTTGAGCTGGTGCGGGGGGGCGGCTTTTAGAGGGTTCGGGGACGCAGGGATTTGGGGGCGGGGGTCTGGGGCCGGGGGGCGGGGCGGGGCGGGGCTGCGGCCGGGCTGGAGCCCAGTGCGCGTGCGCCCGCGCACCCGCCGGGGGGCTGCAGCCAGTTGGCAGGGGTGTGGGCGAGGGAGCGCCGGGGTCTCCCGGAATCACGCTCTTGGACCCGATGTTGGGAGAAACAGCAACGCAACCCAACCCGATTCTGCCCCCTGAGAACTCGGGGGCTCTTGTCCCGAGCTTGTCACTGCCCTGCGGCTGCTTCTGGCTTCCCGCGTTCTGCATGCAGCCCGTTTGTTGAAAATTTTCCCGGCTGGGTTTGAAGCTGGGCGAGCGCACGCTGCCCCCGTGGGAGACCCGGGCTTCAGGGTGATGTGTACAGGCTCGCGCGCACACACGCGTGCACACACACACACACACACACACACACACACAGAGTCTAGGTTTGAAGCTGGGCGGAGCACACGCTGTGCCCGCAGTGGGAGACCCGGGCTTCAGGCCTGATGTGTGCAGGCACACACCCACCCGCACACCTAGGCACAGAAGAGGGTGGGGGAGCAACTGATGTTCTTTTAGTTATTTATTTGTTCATCGAATCACCGTGAGATACAGTTAACGAAGCTTTCATGATTGAGTTGGAGCCATACAGTGATGGGACACCCATCCCTCCACCAGTGCGCATTTTCCACCACCAGTGTTCTCAGTATCCCTCCTGCCAACCGGGCCCCATCCTACCCCCTGCCTCTGGGGCAGGCACTTTCCTTCTGACTCTCTCTATTTTGGGGCATCATGGTTTGCAGTACCAATACTGAGAGACCATCGTGTTTGGTCTTTAGTCTACTTCCAGCACACAGCTCCCATTCCAGAGATCCCTCCAACCATCACTGACTTAGTGGTCCCTTGACCATCCCAGCTGCCTTCTCCCTCAGCACGTGAGGCAGGCTTCCAGCTTGTGGAGAAATCCTCCTGGTCCTTGTCTCTACCGCCCTTGGGTGTTAGCCTCATATTATGTTGTTTGGAGCAATAACACAATGGTAGGGCGTTTGCCTTGCATGCAGCCAGACCGGCCAAGCCAGGTTCGATTCCTCCGCCCTCTTGGAGAGCCCGGCAAGCTACCAAGAGTATCTCGCCTGCACGGCAAAACGTGGCAAGCTACCCGTGACATATTCAACATACCGAACACGGTCACAGGTCTCACAATGGAGACGTTGCTGGGCCCGCTCAAGCAAATCGATGAACAACGGGGAGGACAGTGACAGTGACAGATATTCTACAAGTGAATGCAGTCATTCTATGTCTTCCTCTCTTTGACTCATTTCACTTAGCGTAATACTCTCCATGTCCACCCACTTACAAGCAAATTTCATAAGAACATCATCTTTTCTAACAGCTGCATAGTATTCCATTGTGTAGATGTACCATAATTTCTTTAACCAGTCACCTGTTCTCTGGCACTTGGGTTGTTTCCAGATTCTGACTATTGTGAACAGTGCTGCAATGAACATACAGGTGTCGGTGTCAATTCTACTGTTTGTTTGTTTGTTTGTTTCATCTCTGGTATATATTCCCAGAAGTGGTATTGCTGGGTCATATGGAAGCTCAGTTTCTAGTTTTTTGAGGAATGTCCAAATTGTTTTCCAAAAGGGCTGGACCAGTTAGTGTTCCCACCAACAATGAATGAGAGCCCTCTTTTCCCTACATCTGTGCCAGCACTAGTTGTTCTTGTTCTTTTTGATATGTACCAGTTACTGTGGTGTAAGAATATAGCTTGTTGTTTTGATTTTCATATCCCTGATGATTAGCGATGTAGAGTATTTTTTCATGTGCCTTTGGCCATTTGGTTTTTTTTTTTTTCTTTTTTGGGTCACACCCGGCAACGCACAGGGGTTATTCCTGGCTCATACACTCAGAAATAACTCCTGTCAATTTTTGGGAGACCATATAGGATGCTGAGAATCAAACCCAGGTCAGCCGTGTGCAAGGCAAACACCCTACTCGCTGTGCTATCGCTCCATCCCCTGTATTTTTTTTTTTGAGGAAGTTTCTGTTCCTCATTTTGTCTCCCCATTTCTTGACGGGGTTGGAGGTTTTTTTTCCTTGTAAAGCTCTACCAGTGTCTTGTATGGCCTGGATATTAACCCCTTATCATATGGGTAGCACTGTCCTCCCGTGGTTCATCGATTTGCTGGAGTGGGCCCAGTAACTTCTCCATTGTGAGACTTGTTGTTGCTGTGTTTGGCATGTTGAATACGTCACGGAGAGCTTGCCAGGCTTTGCCCTGCGGCTGAGATGCTGTGGGTAGCTTGCCAGGCTCTCCTAGAGGGGTGGAGGAATAGAACCCCGGTCAGCCACGTGTAAGGCAAATGTCCTACCCGCTGTGCTGTCGCTCCAGCCCATCCTATGGGTATTGGGTAAATAATTTTTCTCGTTCCGTGGGCACTCTATTTTGGTCTTTGTTGCTTTTGAGGTGCAGAAGCTTCTTAGTTTAATGTAGTCCTAGTTGTTTATCTTTGCTTCCACTTGCTTTGTCAATGGTGTTCCATCCTAAGGATGCCTTTAGCTTCCGTATCATGGAGGGTTCTGCCAACATTTTCCTCCATGGACCTTTTGGATTCAGGTCTGATATTGAGGTCTTTAATCCATTTTGATATGCCTTTTGTGCTGGGCATTATACAGGTCTGAGTTCATTTTTTGTATGTAGCTGTCCAGTTTTTCCAGATAACTTATTGAAGAGGCTTTACTTACTCTCTTTCACACTTCTTACTCCATTTTTAAAGATTAAGTGGTCATATACTCGAGAGTCTGTGTCAGAATATTCAATTCTATGCCATTGGTTTGCTGGTCTGTTTCTATTCCAATACCAGTAGTGCTATTTTAAGTACTACTGCTTTTTAGTGCAGTTAGAAGTTGGGGAAGGTGATACCCCCCATCCTTTTTTCCCCCAAGGATTACTTTAGCTATTTGTGGGGGTTTATTGTTCCATATGAATTGCAGGAGTGTTTTGTCTATTTCGTTGAAAATGTCATGGGTAATTCTTATAGGGACCACGTTGAATCTGTATAACACTTTGGGGAGTGTTGCCATTTTGACAATGTTAATTCTCTTAATCCATGAGCAGGGAATGTGTCTCCATTTCCTAGTATCCTCTTTTATTTCTTGAAGCAATGTTTTGTAGTTTCTAAAGAGGTGCAGTTCTTCACCTCTTTAGTTAAGCTGATTCTAAAGAACTTGACTTTCTGAGACACTATTATTGTGAATGGGATTTTTTTTTTTTTGGAGAGGGTCACTCCTGGCGATGCTCAGGGGTTACTCCTGGCTTTGCACTCAGGAATCACTCCTGGCGGTGCTCCGGGGACCATATGGGATGCTGGGAATCGAACCTGGGTCGGCCGCGTGCAAGGCAAACGCCCTACCTGCTGTGCTATTGCTCCAGTCCTGGAATTGTTTTTTTAAATAACTGATATTCTCTTGACTCTTCATTTGTGCACATGTGAGGATGTAATTCTTGATTTGAGACATTTTCTCATTTACAAGATAATGCCATGTAGAACCTGTTTCAAGTATGTTTGGTGCCATTATTTATCTAATGTTGACTTGTGACCCTTTTGTTATTGTTTAGAGCAAAGAAAAGAAAAACTTAAGGAACATCTCTTAAGGAGAAAAACCCTTTTTGCATCCAAACAAGAAAATCAGATATTGTCCAGGTGAGCTGCTGTTTCCTTCGTTTCATATCTGTAAGGTTATATTAAACCTATCCAATAAAACGTATTGAGCCTTGTGTGCAATTTAATATTAGTGGGTGGGGCCGGAGCCATAGCACAGCGGGTAGGCTGTTTGCCTGGCACGCAGCCGACCCGGGTTTGATCCCTGGCATCCCATATGGTCCCCCAAGCACTGGCAGGAGTAACCCCTGAGCGTTGCTGGGTGTGACCCAAAAAAGAAAAAAAAATAAATTGGCTTCTAAAAAAATAATAAAATTAGTGGGTGGAGGGATAATGCAGCAGGGTCAGGCACCAACATTGCCAGGAGTGACCCATCAGCACAGAGCCTGCTGTAAGCCTGATCACTGCCAGGTATGTCCCCCTCCCCAACCCAAAAAACAAATTCCTAGCCACAGTTTTTAAGTTTGTTTTTTTTTTTAAAGATAAAACGAGGTTCAAAAGCAATTTTTTAAAAAAAAAATTAATCCATTCTATCCTGTGTTGTTACACATGTAATTGTTTTTTTATCATTTTTACTCTTTTAGGTACTAAATTTTCAAAGCTTAGCACGAATTTCATACTCTCAGCCCATCTCAATTTGGATTAATCATCACATCAAATACTTCAATAGCCGCATGCAGCTTAGGGACTTCCTAAGCTTCTGCAGCTGAGTCTGGGTGGTGTGCTGGAACCCGGCATGCCCGGGCATGCATCCTTGAGATGATCCTAGCCTACCTTTCTGGGGGGGGATGAACTCCCAGCGTGGGTGTGTCTTTGAGATAGTCTCGCTTTGCCTTTGTAGATGACAGCACTTGGGGATTCCTGTTCTGGACTCTTCCCAGCAGCTACCTGCAGATTGCCTCATCCCCATCAGATATTCCATAAAACAGAATTCTTGCTCTTTGGGTGGGGGGTCCAGTCTTTTCAAGCACTAGCTCAGCTAGGTCCCTCAGCATAAACCTGAGTTTCCCCAACTCTGAGTGTGCTGCTTCATTTTTCTTTGGTTCACAGGAAGAATTCCTGCAACTGTGTCAGCTCCCTGATACCAAGAAAACAATTCCAAGGCAAAAGTGCGTGTATGCCAAAACGCTGACATTTTGCAGGGCTGCAGTGTAATGAAAACATTTTTGCTCTGTGCCATGAAGGACTTGGGAGGGGTCCTTCCCACATGTGTGCAGGTGGTTTGTAAATTGAAATTGATTAGTCTCAGCACCCCATAAAAATACCTGTATTGTTTTTTTTTAATTATAATATAAGATTATGACAAACAAGCCTACCAGAGTGGATAGGCAATCAAGTTTTCTTAGCTCTAAAATGTACATTCTCCCCTCCTCAGCATCCCCCCCCACCCCCCAATCCACACACACACCTACACCTTAACATCACTAAACTTGGGATCTCTTAGAATTCTTCAATCCCCTTTCCTCTCCTCCACGGTATGCAAAATTGTTTTAATTACCAGTTAAGAGAGTCTCTTAGTCTATACTACCCATCTGTTTCTGTAAATTTAGGTTGAATACTTCAGATAATAATTTTCTTCAATTATGTGTTCTAAAGTGCAAAAAAATTATTTCAGCATCTAAAGGTAATCTAAGCTAGAATCTAAAGTCCATAGGCAGTGAATTAAGCTTTATCTATGATAAATTAATATTTCTTTAAGGAGAGCTTTTTTTTTCTTTTTGGGTCACACCCGGCAATGCACAGGGGTTACTCCTGGCTCTGCACTCAGGAATTACCCCTGGCGGTGCTCAGGGGACCATATGGGATGCTGGGAATCGAACCCGGGTCAGCCACGTACAAGGCAAACACCCTACCCATTGTGCTATTGCTCCAACTCAAAGGAGAGCTATTTTTAAAATGTTTCAATACAGGTCTGTAACTCAACACAACAACTAAGTCAAATGTTTTTTGGGAAGGCTTTTGGGGAGTAAGTAGAAAAAGTGGTTTGGAGTGAGATTAAAAAGTGTTTTGGTAGCACCTGGCAATGATAATACTTTTAAAGAAATAGCTTTGGTTCTTCAACTGTTTCTTTAGATTTAACAACATTAGATCACCCTATTGTAAAGAAAAGATCTGCTTAGGAGAAATAAATCTTAGTTATTGCTTCAGTGTGAAATTTTAAATTTTGAATTTGATTAATTGTTAACATGCATTGATTCCTTTTTCTGGAAAGGCAATCACTTTGGTGAAGGGTTTATTTTATTTTATTTTTATTTTTAATAGTCAAGGCCAGAGGATAACATCTAAGAACCTGGTCCAACGAGAAGCAAAAGGTTTGAAACTTAAAGCAGAAATGGTAAGAGTTGTGCATAGTCCACGTGACCTATGCATTTTCTTTTTCTGACTCTTTCTGAAATGAGTTCTGAAATAATTTCTTGTCCGACATAATTCTTCTAGGATAATAAAGAAAATATTGGTAGACCTACGGGGAACAAAAATAATGTATCAGTGGGAAAAAATTGTATCCCTTTAAAGCCTTCAAAGGGATTAATCAGTCCATCTAGAGCAGTTGATGCACAGAATCTGGAGGATAATAATCAAACTTTGCCTTTGCCACTTAAAGATGACACCCAAGGTAACCATATGACATTAAGCCAAGCATTTCACCTTAAAAATCACAGTAAAAAGAAACAGACAATTCTAGAAAAACCAAAGCAAGAGGCTAGTATTCCCAAGAAACCTGTCCTTGGATCTTATCGAGGCCAGATTGTCCAGTCTAAGATTGATTCGTTTAGAAAACCTCTTCAAGTAAAAGATGTGAGTTCTGGAACAGCCACGAAGCTTAGCACTGCTGCCTCTAAGGTTCCGACCACTGCCACAGAACCTCGGCCAGTCGGGACTGACTCTGTCGCAGTGAAGAATGGCAGCACCTCACACGTGAGGACCGCCACGAAGTCTGTGAACGCTGCAGCTCAGCCCAGACCACTTGTGCGACCTCCTATTAGAAGTCACCAGGAGAATCAGGACCCCAGAAAACAAGGCGTCGGCAGAATCTCTTCCAGTGTCGCGGTTCAGAGAGGGCCTCGCGAAAAAGCCTTGCAGTTAAATGCAGTGGTCTCTGGTGTAAAAGCCAGTGATCCGCATATAAAACAGAGCAGAGCACCATCTAAAAGTACCCTGTCTGCAACCGTAGCCAAGCCGGCTTCATCCTTTAATAGCAAACTGATGGAAAAATCTAAACCCACTGACCAGCGCAGACACACTATAGCAAAAGCAACTCTCGATGGCAGATTGACTTTGCCCAAAGAAACTGCAGAAGAGAGAAAGTAAGTGTATCTAATTTTATTGGTGTAATTCTTGTTTAATTTTTCTTTTTTTAAAAGCTGATGTGATGTTTAGGACTATATAGGTTTCGGGTAGATGGCGTTAGTGTTCAATATCTGTATATTGAACATCTCACCAAAAAGTCTAATTTAGCTTAGTTTTTAATGCAGTGACATTTGTGAATTTAGCTTACAGTTATCTCGAACGCGCTCAATTTTCTTTGGCTTTTGTGGATTTCCTCTATCACGCAGAGACAAATTTAAGCAAGTTTATATTGTGGAACAGAGTAGCTAAAGGTATTGTGCATGAGTATATTTCATTAGGTTGTTTTACATAAGCTACATTAAAGTACTTAATGAAACTGGGAGCTTGTTCTTAAGCCCTCTATTTATTTATTTATTTATTTATTTATTATTTATTTTTTAAGCCCTCTATTTAAAACAAATGCATTCTTGGGGTCTTTGTAATTAACTTGGGTATACTTTGATTTTTTTCCTCAGACTTGAACTAGTATGGGGCTTCTTCAAGATCTGAAAATGTGTTTTAATATTTCCTCTGCTTGACAGAATTCTCTCACCAGTGTCACCATAATGCTTTTCTCCTGCCTCTAACCATAGAGCTCGTCTGAATGAATGGAGAACTGGCAAGGGCAGAGTGCTGAAAAGGCCCCCTCACTCCGTGAATAATCAGCCCGAGCAGACTGGACAAAACGAGAATCCAGTCGCGTCCTTTTGGACCACCATGGCAGAAGAAGATGAGCAAAGATTATTTACTGAAAAAGTAAACAGGACATTATCTGAATGTCTGAACCTAATTGAAGAGGTAGAGTCTGTTTTGTGTGATATTTAGTAGTTCAAATGTCACTGTCACTGTCACTGTCTTCCCATTGTTCCTCGATTTGCTCGAGCGGGCCCAGTAACATTGTGAGACTTGTTACTGTGTTTGGCATATCGAGTATCTCATGGGTAGCTTGCCAGGCTTTGCCGTGCGGGCGAGATACTCTTGGTAGCTTGCCGGGCTTTCCGAGAGGGGCAGAGGAATCGAACTCAGGTAGGTCATGTTGGCCGCTTGCAAGGCAAACCCCCTACCCACTATGCTATCGCTCCAGCCTATGTATTTTACTAGCTATATTATCAGCATTTTCAGTCACACTGTGTCCATTGTGTTGTATTGAACTAATGCTAGTTGTGAGATTGTGTGTCTTTAGCTTTTATTGGATTCCATTTTCATTAAATTTCTTTAAATTAGTGGAATTTAAAGATTTTATTTTCATTTGTGTTTAAAAAAAGCACAGTGCTGTGACAAAGGCAGAGTGCTGAAAAGGCCCCCTCACTTACGGTTAAAAAATAATCTGGGGGCTGGAGCGATAGCACGGCGGGTAGGGCGTTTGCCTTGCACACGGCTGACCCGGGTTCGATTCACAGCATTCCATATGGTCCCCTGAGCTCCGCCAGGAGTAACTCCTACGTGCAGAGCCAGGAGGAAACCCAGTGCATCTCTGGGTGTGACCCAAAAAAGCAAAATAAATAAATTTTTAAAAATCTGAATATTTTTTCTAGAAAAATTCTATGTAGTTAAATAGCAGACAGAAAAATTCTGTGCTATCCACAGAAAACCTCAGTTGAGGAGGAATTTTCATCTGTGACCTTCTTGGAATGTCTTCTAACTAGCGCTGTAGTTAAAAGCAGAAAAAAATTATGGCGACACTGGTGAGAGAATTCTGTTTTAAGATAGAGTAAGCTGAGGGTGGATGTTCACTTTTCATCTCTGATACTTTTCATAGTTTTTTCAGTGTATCTACAAATTATGTTTTTATTTACATTGTATGAAAGATTTGTAACATCAAGCGAGCCATTATTATCACAGATTTATGTAAAATAAAATAACTTGGAGCATGGCAGAGCCTGGCAAGCTCCCCGTGGCGTATTCTATATGCCAAAAACAGGAACAATAATGGTTCTCCTTCCCCTGACCCCGAAAGAGCCTCCAATACGGCAGTGTTGGGATTGATGAGTAAGGAGAGGCTGCTAAAATCTCAGCACTGGGACAAATGGAGATGTTACTGGCGCCCATCCAAGTAAATTGATGAACAAGGGGATGACAGTGATACAGTGACAGTGATACAGTGAAAATAATTTGGAAACAAATCCCCATTAAACCAGCATTTTTCCACTAGGAGGCACATGATCCTGGGGAGGGGGAACCCTTCAGGACATTCCAAGAGGGCCACAGATGAAAATTCCTCCTCAACTAAAGTTTCCTGTTAATAGTACAGAATTTTTCTGTCCACTATTTAACTGCATGTAATTTTTCTAGGAAAAATATTCAGGTTATTTTTATTTTAGCACAGCAGTAGGGCATTTGTCTTGTGTGTGGCCAGCCCGGCTGAGCTGGATTCGATTCCTCCACCCCTCTCGGAGAGCCCGGCAAGCTACCGAGAGTATCTCGCCCGCACGGCAAAGCCTGGCAAGCTCCCTGTGATGTATTCAATATGCCAAACACAGTAACAAGAAGTCTCAAAATGGAGATGTTACTGGACCCGCTTGAGCAAATCGATGAACAACAGAGGACAGTGTTTGTTTGTATTTTTGCTTTTGGGGTCACACCCATTGATATTCAGGGGTTACTCCTGGCTCTGCACTCAGGAGGTACTCCTGGCAGTGCTTGGGGGACCATGTGGGATGCTGGGGATAGAACCCAGCTCGGCCGCATGCAAGGCAAACGCCCTACCCGCTGTACTATCACTCCGGCCCCACTCAGTTCATTTTTAACTTTAATTTCAAAATAAGAAGAACCTTTCAAGCTATATCTCCTTCCTAAATATCTGGTGGATGAAAACATTCCTACATAAAGAATCAACAAATGGAATTATTTTACAGTATATTAAAAGATAAACATGAGGACGTGGACGTTTTTTATTCGTATTTCTCACCACTGTTTCCTTTTTTTTTTTTTCTTGCTGCCTTGTACTCTCTGGCTGGCCCCAGGACCCCAGGACCCCGGCACCTGGCACCACTCCACTCCCAGCAGGACTTGGCCCCTGGGGAGCAGGTTCTGTGCTTGGACCCAGACACGCTGGGGTCAGCAGGGCTCTGGGGTCAGGCTCCGGGTCTGAAGTTAAGGCACATTCTCCACTATTTCAAATTCCTGCCCCTGATACGGTTCTCTCTGCCATTCAGGAAAATGGGCCATGACACATCTGCCAGGGACTTTTTCTTTTTTTAAAATGAACAATCTGGGGCTGGAGCAATAGCACAGCAGGTAGGGCGTTTGCCTTGCATGCGGCCAACGCGGGTTCGATTCCCAGCATCCCGTATGGTTCCCTGAGCACTGCCAGGGTGATTCCTGAGTGCAGACCCAGGAGTAACCCCTGTGCATCGCCAGATGTGACCCAAAAAGCAAAAAAAACCAAACAAAAAAAAATGAACAATCTTGGGTCAATGTTTCACTTTCAAACAATGATGTTTTGCTTATTTGTTTAGTCATTGTTTCTTGAATAAAAGAGCCCATTCACTGTTTATCTTCCTATTTTAGGGATGCCCAAGAGAAGAAGTATTGACCACTCTGAATGATCTGATTAAAAATATTCCAGAGGCAAAAAAACTTGTTAGATATTGGATCTGCCTTGCACGTCTTGAACCAGTCACAAGCCCTATTGAAAATGTCATCACAATTTATGAGCAGGCTATTCTAGCAGGAGCTCAGGTAAGACGAAAACTTACCAAACTTCATTATTACAGTGTAATACACTGAATTTATTGAGAACACATCACAATTTAAAAGTTGCGGATATATATATATAGAGAGAGAGAGAGACAGAGAATCTTGCCCGCACGGCAGAGCCTGGTAAGCTACCCGTGATGTAGTCGATATGCCAAACACAGTAACAACAAGTCTCATGACGGAGACGTTACTGGGCCTGCTTGAGCAAATCGATGAACAACGGGAGGACCATGACCGTGATATTTACAATATTTTAAAATTTTCATAAACTTCAGGGGAAAACCATGTAACTTTCAAAAACCTATAATGTGTGCATATATTTATTTTAAATGTTTCATGTATATATAAAACTGTAGGGATTTGGAGGGATTGGGGGTCCTCCACACTTGGCAATGCTCAGGGGTCGCTCCTGGCTTCTGGCTCTGTGCTCAGGAATTATTTCTGGTGGTGCTCGGGGATCATATGGAATGACAGGCATTGAACCTGGGTGGCTGTGTGCAAGGCAAGCCCCTTCACTGCTGTGCAGTCATTCCAGCCCCTATTTTTAAAGGCCACATGAATTGCATGACAGAACATTTCAGCCTTCTAGAACTTGGTCAGGCAGTAGGGATAATCAGACATTAGAACCCGAATCGAAGCTGAAATAGACACCGAATGAAACTTGACTGGGGGTCTGGTGGAGGGTCACAGCCTGCGCCCCCTGTGCTTCCCATCCTCCACCCCTGTCAACAGAGGGAGTGGGGGGCGGGTAACAGCATCTGGGGGGCAAAGCTAAAGCCAAGGCTTCCCATCGAAAGCTGTGGCATAAAGAGAAAGATGAGACACGGTGCAGAAATCACAAAGCAAGATCAGCCTCCCAAATTGAAAGCAGATTTGGTGAACGGTGAGGAGGAGGTGTCGTAAATAAGGCTATGCACCAGAGCTTGCCTTTTGCATAATGCCTTGGATATCAGTCCTGGTTTTAAGGAGCATAGTAAGTACTTATTTTGTCTGGTATATGTAAATGGCCATTTGGGCAGCTTTTGAATCAGTGAATATGTTAGACCGACTTCCAACTCTTCAGTATCTGTGAAACAAAAATAAAATCATGGATTTGAATATAGGAATAAAGGTGTAAACTCTATAAACTTTCAAGTTAAACTGAACATAATCAGTTTATCAATAGATACTAGTACTATTGGTTTGCTGCTCATTTCTTAATTTTGTTTGTATCAGCTGAACAAGTTTTTAACTGGTGAACTTCTATCCATTAAGTTGGTTTTAATTCTACAAATTGGGAAAATTGCCCTTTTATGTTTGAGAATCAGTGTTCTGGAGCTCTATCTAAGAACCATTTCCTTTTTTTTTTTTCTTTTCTTTTTTTTTTTAATTTATTTTTTATTTTTAGTGAAACATCATGAGGTACAGTTGTAGATTTACAATTTTTTGTGCTTGGGTTTCGATTATACAATGATCAAATACCCATCCCTCCACCAGTGCCCATTTTCCACCACCATGGATAATATCCCTCCCACCCCCATTTCCTATTTTTAAGATAAGAAATTTAGGGACTAGAGAGAAAGTACAATAGCTAGGGCATTGCCCTGCAAAGGTGGCTGAACTGGGTTTGAGTCTCAGCACTCCACGTGGTTCCCTCGTCCCCCAGGCCTAGGCCAAAAAATTTGTCACTGGTTTTTATTTTTCAACTTGGACAATCTTAATTTTGTTCAGTCTGAGATTATAAAACTTACGAGTCTGTTTTCTCCACTTAAACAAATGAAGCCTATTGAAGAGATGCGACAGTTAATTGTAGGTATTCTCACAGCCAAGAGTGAAGAAAAGGTCAAATTGGGTGAGTTCATTTTTTTTGTTGTTTTCTTAAAATGAATTGTGATTTTATTATTAAATTTCTTTGAATTGTTTTCCTTTAAAACTTTTAACATTTGTAGGTTGTCTCATACTTCTGTTGACCTACCTCTAGAACTGTTAATTAGGAGGTCAAATCAAAACGTGGATTTGTCGTTGAATATCTGAAAGAAACCTCACCTCTCTAGTTCTTGATTTCAAAAAATAAGGATGTTTGGCTCAGTGATGGCCAAAGACATTTTTCACCTATTAATTTCTGTCTTTTCAGTGCTTTAGAAACTGGATCCATGTATCTGAATGAAAATAAAACATCAGGTTTATGTGCTTATTTATATAATTTTATACCTAGGGTCACATAAAAATTTCTCAGGCCAAAACCGGTTGCAAACAAAAAATTAAAGGAGTTCTCGAGGGGGCTGGAACAATAGCACAGCGGGTAGGGTGTTTGCCTTGCACGCGGCCGACCCGGGTTCAATTCCCAGCATCCCACATGGTCCCCTGAGCACTGCCAGGGATAATTCCTGAGTGTATGAGCCAGGAGGAACACCTGTGCATCGCCGGGTGTGACCCAAAAAGGAAAAAAAAAAAGTAAAAGGAGTCCTAGAGAAGTTCTTTGGGGAATTATCTTTCTTAGGGATAGTAAATACAGATTGATGTGGTGCAGAGCTGGGGAGAGCGGCTTGGCACTCAGGCCTCGGGTAGGCGTGCGTTGCTCCAGCCCTTTGAGCAATCTTTTCAGTCCCATTTTTTTCATTTTAATTAGAGTCAAACCATGTCAACTTTTTGGTGTGTTTGATGTCAGGGGTGGAACTCAGGTGTTGAACCAAGAAGTTGTATCCTTGCTGCTAGTGTGAACTTTTCTGAGGCTCCTGATATATGTTGCTAGAAAAGTAACAAGTACCTTATTTTCGATGACCTGAGTTAGCTGATCACCACCTCCCTCCACCTTGCTCCTTACCTGCAGCCTTCCTTAGCCTCTCTGCCCCTGTGGACCCACACAGGCTCATGGTCTGGCGGCTGGAGACCATGTTCTACCCCCACTGACCCTTTAGTGTTGTCCTAAGAGATCCTTTTTCTTTCCTTAATGCTTCTTTCCAAGAAGCGTTAAAGTACAGTTGGTGGGACACTGACCTTGCAAACGTGGCTGCCCTAGGTTGATCCCAGTGCCTCTTGTGATCCTCTCACCCACCCAAACAGTAGCCCCCAAACAAAAATTGGTCACTGGTTTTGGGTTTTTTTTTTTGGGTTTTTTTTTTGGCGATGCAGAGGGGTTCCTCCTGGCTCATGCACTCCGGAATTACCCCTGGCGGTGCTCAGGGGACCATATGGGATGCTGGGGATCAAATTCCAGTTGGCTGCACTGTGTGCAAGGCAAAAGCCCTACCCGCTGTGCTATTGCTCCAGCCCCCGGTCACTGTTTTTTCTTGTTTGTTTGTTTTTTTAATTTTTATTAGACACCATGAGGTACAGTTGTAGACTTACAAATTTTTGTGCTTGGGTTTCAGTTATACAATGATCAAACACCCATCCCTCCACCAGAGCCCATTTCCCACCACCACAGATCCCAGTATCCCTCCCACCCCCCATCCCCCCCCTCCCACCCTGCCTCTGTGGCAGGACATTCCCCTTTGTTCTCTCTCTCCTTTTGGGTGTTGTGGTTTGTGGTCACTGGTTTTTATCTTTCAACTTGGGCAATCTAATCTTGTTCGTACCTAAGATTATAAAATTTAGAGGTCCTAGGCCTCGTCAAGTACTCTTGTTTGTGGCCTAAGTGTTACTTGTGATGCCTTCCTAGTCATCTTTCTGTCCCACAAGTAAAGTTAGTTCTTTTGTAGGGAGACTGGGACGGACTCCTAAACAGTGCTTAAGGACCCAGGGCCTGCTCTGGAGTGTAGTAAAGTTCGGGTCTGGCAGTGTCGGGGTGACGAGGGCCACATGCATTGGTCCTTGTGTGCCGCCAGAGCGACACCGGGCGGTGTTGGGGATGGGACTCTTGGGTTTCAATTATACAATGATCAAACACCCATCCTCCACCAGAGCCCATTTCCCACCACCATGGATCCCAGTATCCCTCCTACCCCCATCCTGCATGCTGATGTGACCCCCAAGCTCGTCCCCCAGCACAATTGTTCTTTCGAGAGATTCCCATCACCGTTTGGTCGAACCTCAGTTTGCATTTTTCTCATAATTGTTTTAAAGCATATCTCTTGGATTTGAAATGTAAAATTCTTAAAGGGCAGGAGTGATTTCATTATATTTGCATCTATAATCCATGGCACATAGGTAGTAGCAAATTTTTCATAAACAGTTGGCAGTATTTTTGCTTTGATAGAGAGTGAAGGGGTGGCAGTTTGGTTTCTCTAGGTGTGAAAATTCAACCAACTGTGAATTCATTGAATGTCTTTTTATTTTGTTCTTCAAACGTGGTCAAATGTTTAATCTATAAATGCATCTCATTAGGAGAAAGTAACGAGGCTTTTGCCACTAAGGAGGAAATCCAAGAGGTCAGCGTGGAAGATACTAGCGTTGAAGATCCAGATTCAGAAAAACCGGAAATGGAAAATAAGCATCACGGAGACGTGGTTTTTCAAGACTGCAAAAAATCGCAAGATGTGAAAACAAAAGAACCAGACAGTGATAAAAAGACCCCGAATACAGAAACTAGGGCAAGTTGCTTAATCAAATATAATGTGTCTACGACGCCTTACTTGCAGAGGTAAGCTTTAAAATATGCTGTAACTTGTTTTTATTCTTAGAGATAATATGATATTTTTAAAACTTTGAGATAGCTTCAGACGGTAACTGCTGTTTCTTAACAAATCTTTCAAGTCAAGCAGATATTACTGATTCAGTTTACCTTTTTCTTTGGTTATTTGGGGGGTCACACTCCAGGTCCTAGGGGGTTGCTCCCAGTTGTTCTTGGGAGACCGTCAGTGCTGGCAGTCCTAACCCAGGCCTCCCACCTGCAAAGCATTTTTCTAGCCCCTTGAGCCAGCTCCACCATCCATCCCCTTATCAGTTCCTGAATTTGTTTCGCTTTTGAGTGCTATTATTTGAAAATTAGATACACTATTTTATTTTAGTATCTGTGCTTTATTGTAATAGTAAGTTTTCTAATAGAACAGTTAGCCAATTTCACAGATATTTAAATATCTGTACAGGTTTTAACAGGAAATGGAGTGAAGAATAAGTTCAAGGAGTTTATTCTGTGGAGATAAGCAGTCATGTGATTGTAAAAAAATGTACTAGTTACAATGTGGTAAAATAAGTCAAAGTGAAATCTACTTTGTAAACTCTGGAAATATTTTTGTGGGTTTTTTTGTTTTTTTTTTTTAGCGTGAAAAAGATACAGCTTGATGAAACAAATTCTCCATATAAAGAGCTGAAGTTCCTAACACCGGTCCGACGTTCTCGACGCATTCAAGAGAAGACGGCTCAGTTGCCAGATATGTTAAAAGACCATTATCCTTGTGTGTCTTCACTGGAGCAGTTGAGAGAGCTGGGCAAAGAAACAGACGCGTTCGTGTGCCGTCCCAATGCAGCTCTGTGTGGGATGTTTTTGGAGCCAGTAACAGAGAAGTAAAGGGACGAGCTGGAGGGGGCTTCATTCTCGCTGGCTCCTGTGTTTGTGGTCAGGAGGTAGCCAGCTGTGTTGATGGCGGTCAGCCCATGCATTAATATCCACAGTTAATGTGATGTCGCTGATGTTGCTCCTCTGTGTCAGAAAGCTAATCCAACCTGGTTTTTCCCCCTGAGATCAGTAGTGTGCCCCTATAAACATGTTTCACCCTAGTGTTTGCTTGTTCACTTTACTTTGAATAATCCTAAATTACAGGAAAAGGCTAATTTGTTATCATAATGGATTATCAGAAATGAGGTGCTTTAGATAAAACATTTTTGCATGGAAAAAAAAATTTAAATCTGAGCTCTGCCCGGGCTGATGGACAGCGGCAGTGAAGGATGACAGCCAGTCCCAGGTGACCAGAGGTACACTCAGCTGCGTACCAAGAATCTGGTCGGAGGGGGAGAAGATAGATGCATTGCTCTGTTTAAAGGCGATGGACTCCACTCCTCGTAAATTTAGAGGCGGTCTGTGTCTAGATCAGATACCTAAGAACAGCTGCCATGCTTCTACAGTCCTGACTTTAAACAGAGCACAGTTCATTTTTTTAAGTAAAAAATCTTAATTCTGGATCAGTCTGAAAATCAGCAATTAGAATGTATGGAGTCCATCCCCTTTAAACAGCGCATGCATCTTTTTTCTCTCCCTCCCACCAGATTCTTGGTACGTAGTCGGCTGCGCCTCTGGTCGCCTGGGACTGGCTGTCGTCCTTCACTGCCACTGTCCCATCAGCATGGTCAGGGCTCAGGCTCTCTTGGCCTCTTGGTTCCTTTTTCATTGTGATTGAGGTTACCAGAGTCTGTAGTTAACCAACACCACTTGTAGGAAAATATATAATTTGTGATAAAAAAGAAAAGACACCAAGTGTGGCGTGTATTTATTTGTATTTAAATCTGAATTTCTTCTTTTTTTTTTTTAATATAATGTCATTGTTATTCTCTCTCAACTCTACTGATTCAATAAGTCCCTGGTCCTTGTTAAAGATTAGCTCTAAACTGTGTAACGTGAATTTGATTAAAGATCACAAAGTCATGTTCATTTATTCCATATAATAGCACTAATACTTATTCACTTCTCATGTTGTAGAGTGTAGGGTTTTTATTCTTTTTAACTGTGTCTAATGTGTATGCAATAAATTAAATACTTTAAAAAATAAATTAAAATACTTGTGTAACTGTCTCCGTGACATTCATTTAAATATAAAAAAGCAATGAGTGCACAGGTAGTGCTTTTGAAACTTGTCTTTGAGGTGCCTTATAGTGGGACTTGATTTGAGGTCTCAACACTTCAAGTGTGTGCTTAATGGTATATTTCCTTTTGAGAAATTTATCAGTATGCACTGTTTGGTTTCACCCTAGTGCAGTAGTCTGAAATTCCTCCGTGAGAAAGAGAACTTGAGATAAACTCTGTTTGGAAAAGTTCTGTAGAATGGTTTTTCCCTCGTAAATTTAGAGACAGTCTGTGTCTAGATCAGATACCTAAGAACAGCTGCCATCGATCGAACTCGTATTTATTCCAAACAAAATAGTTCCAAGGCTGAGATGAGGCGTCCGACAGATCTGCATTTCAAATCATCATACTTCCTACCTTTTTGAAGGATCAAATGGAAAAATTCTCTGGTTGGTTCTCTTCTCTCTCTCTCTCTTTCTCTCTCTCTCCCTCTTCTTCTTCTTCTCCCTCTCCCTCCCTCCCACCCAAGAATTGATAGACTTCACTGTCACTATTCTCCCATTGTTCGATTTGCTCAAGCGGGCCCAGAAACGTCTCCATCGTGAGACTTGTTGTTACTGTGTTTGGCATATCGAATACATCACGGGGAGCTTGCCAGGCTTTGCCGTGAGGGCGAGATACTCTCGGTAGCTTGCCGGGCTCTCCGAGAGGGACGGAAGAATTGAACCCGGCTCGGCAGGAAATGCCCTACCGTTGGTGCTATCGCTCCAGCCCTTGATAGACTTAAAATACTTAAATACTAGGCATCGGGTTCAAGAACAACTTTTTATTGGGTTATAAAATTCAGCCATTGGGTTACGAAAATCAGAAGAGAATAACATAAAGTAACTCCCAAAGAAGCAGCAACTCCTGGTTGGAGCTTTCTGTGGGTTAGTAGTTGTGATCCCAAGTACATTCTTGTTAAGTTCAAACACAGACAAAGTCCCCTACTCCAGTTGTGTTACCCTCTTCACAATCACAATCACAACCATCCTGTTATTCGTCGATTGCCTCGAGCAGGCCCTAGTAACATCTCCTTCGTCCTAGCCCTGAGATTTTTTTAAAAAGTGCCATATTCAAGGCTCTTTCAGAGTTAGGAGAATGAGACCCTTCATTGTTACTGGTATTTGGCATATTGGGTACGCCATGGGGAGTTTGCCAGACTCTGCCGTGTGGGCAGGTTACATTCAGTAGCCTGCCAGTTTGTCCAAAGTAGGAATGAGATGATAAAATGTCATCCAGCTTCCGGGAGCTGGGTTTTATAGTCTCTGAGTCTTGGCCGTTGATGGGCTTACATGGCGCCAGGGGGCCAGTTGGTGGGTGTGACCCCCGCCTACTGGAATTTGGAGGATCTGGGTGGAGGATGCCCAGCCCCGATCCGAGTAGGCTTGGAGATCTCAGCCCCGGGATCCGCGTGCCTTTTTTCCTCTGCTGGTACCTTCATGTGTGCGGAGAGTGGTCTCAGCATGGTGGTGGCTGGTCCTGGAGGTCTTCGGCTGCTGGAGCCCTGGTCGGGGCAGGGAAGGAAACTCCCCTCCAAGGGGCCCCGGTGAGGACAGCCATGCATGGGGGTAGGAGACTGCGCTGTTCTCTTCCAGGAACTGGGTTTTATAGCGTTACCCTCTTAGATGAATCATACTGGTATGGTAACTTTCCAAATTCTATGTATTTAATTGTGCTTCGCTAGCTATAAACTATACCACACTTTACAACTATATAGGCATCTTTTATCTCTAATTTACTGATTTCAGCATTTGTTTGTTTGGTTTGGGGGCTATACCTGACAGTGCTCAGGGGTTACTTCTGGCTCTGGACTCAGGGATCACTTCTGGCAGTGCTCAGGGTACCATATGGGATTCTGGGGATCAAATGCATGTTGACCACATGCAAAGCAAATGCCCTACTCGCAGTACTATTGCTCTGGCTCAATAAGTTTTTTGTTGTTTTGGGGTCACACTCAATGATGTGCAGGAATTACTCCTGGCTCTGCACTTAGGAATCACTCCTGGCAGTGCTTGAGGGACCATATAGGATGCTGGGGACAGAACCTCAGGTGGCTTTGCCTAATTGACTGTTACAGGGAACTTTTGGGAAGTTAAGTAAAGGACAAATTTATTTCTCAAAAGAGTGTCTATGAGCTATATGTTTTGGGAACAAATTCCCATCATATCTCTTGCAAACATAAGCTGCAGGTAGCATATGAGTTTATCAGGAGAAAATATAAAATTCATTTTTGTTTTTTGAATCATACCAGCAGTGCTCAGGGGGTACTCAAGCCTCTGTGCTCAGAATCACTCCCAGCAGTGCTGGGGGATCATGCAGTGCCGAGGATTGAACTTAGAAATCTCTCTCTGTGCTCAGAGATTACTCCTGTGGTGCTTGGGGGAATGCTGTATACCAGGGATTGAACCATGGTTGGCAATGTGCAAGACAGCACCTTAACTTGTGTTAACTCCTCAGCTCAGCAAAACACTTATCCTGGAATCTTAACATTGCAAGGAATGGTAAAGCACAGACTTGGGTGAGCAGTAAGTAGTAGCAATAGGATTTAGCTCTACTTCTGAGTAGCAAGCACCACGAGGACATTCAAGAAACTGACCAGGGGCTGGAGCAATAGTACAGTGGGTAGGGTGTTTGCCTTGCATGTGGCTGACCCAGGTTCGATTCCCAGCATCCCATATGGTCCCCTGAGTACCACCAGGAGTAATTCCTGAGTACAGAGCAGAGAGTAACCCTGTGCATAGCTGGGTGTGACCCAAAAAGAAAAAAAAAAGAAAAAGAACCTAACCAGTCTCCACACTTACGGTGAAAATTATGTTTTGTATATAAAAGTGGTATGAAGGTATAATTCTATATCCGAATTATTCAAGTTGGAGAAAAAGCAAGATATTTGCAAGCATGCAAATGTCTTATTTACCACTCATGAACTTACCTGAAAACATTCCAGTGAAGTAAATAGTATATCTAAGATTTTAAAGATTGCCAACATACCAAAATAAACAAGTCTTTGTCATAAGTTATAAAATATTAATTAAAATGAAAATGGGGATGGAGCAATAGCACAGCGGGTAGGGCGTTTGCCTTGCATGCAGCCAACATGGCCGACACAGGTTCGATTCCCAGCATCCCATATGGTCCCCCGAGCACCGCCAGGAGCAATTCCTGAGTGCATGAGCCAGGAGTAACCCCTGAGCATCGCCGGGTGTGACCCAAAAAGAAAAAAAAATGAAAATGTTAATTGTTAATTTCAGCAGGAGAGATGTACAGAACAAAGTTTTTTTTTAAGGCTAATATTGTTTCTGTCATAAGGTAGTTATGATGGATGACCCATTCAAGGAAACTAATCCTACCTAGTGAAAACTATATTCTATGGGTACAGATGGAAACACTGGTGGGTGGAACATTTTTTGAGGCTATATTTCTGGATCAGACTTTGTTGGTTTAAGCAGAGTGGCAAGAGCGAGAACCCAGATAGAACTTTCTAGGGTGGTACTGGTGACCTGTCTTATTTTCTCAGAGGTAAAGGGTAAAGTCAGTTCTCTTGTCAACAATTTCAAAATTTAAGATGTAAAGATAAGGTTCATCCAAGAATCCAGCAGAAAATGTCTCATGAAGATGTTTGTAACATTATTCGCATTAACCCCAAACCAAAAACTGCCCATTAACTGGTGAATGAAAAAGCCTATTTCCAAATCAACACATGAATGGATTATGCAGTTGTGTTATATGTACCAATGGAATACTCTGCAGCTGGAAGGAACGATGAAATCATGCAATTTGTTGCAAAAAAAAAAATCTTTGGAATTGGAAGATACCAAGTAAAGCAAGACAGGATGATCTCACTTATCTGTGGTATATAGAATAGTGGATGAGGAAATGTACTGTTGTGAAAGGGGGGTGCCTAAAACACTGTTGACCCCAGTGTTTGGTAAAGAGAAGGAAAGAAATCAGAGTGGGAAGTAATGGTGAACAGGAACCCGGGCTTCATTTATATCCATTATATGAGTCAGTGGTATGGCCATACATCCAAAGCACAGACTCAGCAAAACTAAAAACATGAGATCTAAGCGGCAG